GCAGACTCCCCTGCTGAGCAGGGAGCCCAATGCTGGGCTCGATCCCAGGACTCCAGGACCATGACCTGAACCGAAGGCAGATGCTCAACCAATTAGCCACCCAGGCACCCCCTGGAAAAAAAAACATTTAAAAGAATAGGATGATCCAGGAGGAGTTAAACTGGGCATACTAGTATGTTTGTTTGTTTTTAACCTGTTTGCCATACCACTGTTTTCCTAAAAATGTTACAGAAAAAGTAGGTAAATGATTTTCCCCCCACTGTCAAAAGACCATCTGCTGTTTGAGAAGACTCTCCTAGATTTTATCGTTATAATCATTTTTCTATTTCCAATTAGCAGCACGCTTCCCTTAGTATGATATGTTCTGCATAAACCACTGTTTTTCTCTTCAGCAGATTTCCTAAGGCTACCTTGGAATTTACCAGCGTTTTCCTCCTTTTTAAGGGTGGAAATTTTCTCTTTCAGGGGGAGATACATTTCTACATTAGTGCCTATTCATTTCCTTTTCATTTTCTCAGGGAAAAACAATCAGGTTCATCACTGCTGTAGTCATGGAGATTTCATGTCTCCAGAAGAAATCTAATTGTGGAATTTCTTTGTTAATCCCACCCTGGATGTTTAAGCTTTTGTGTTTGATCAGTGCAGCCCAGGCAGGGGAGAGACCGAAACAGGTTACAACACGACTCTTTAACTCAAGGCAGGCAGGGGAAGTGTGTGCAGCAAGGACTGTCCCGGGATGCTGGGGGCAGGGGCGTAGCAGTGGCTCAGGCCGTGGTTGGTGACTGGACAGGTGAAGATCTTAGGCTGGAACCACCTGCGAGACGCTTGCATCCCACAGTGCAGTGAACTCAGTACAGCCACATCTTCCTTGCAGATCTGTCCTCCTGTGCATTCCCCACCAACAGCACCGCTGTGTCCTTAGCTGCCTTCGCCTTGATTCTGCCCCTCCTTTCTACAGTCTTGACTTCCATTCTGGTAAAACCTGCCTCCTGGTGCATCCTCCTTTCTTCCTCTCCTTCAGGCCTTCAGATCTCCCCACTGGCTCCCCACTGGCTGCAGTCTTTTAAGTAATCATCTCTCCTGCCATTGGCCAGTGTCCTGCCTCCCCATTGCTGCTAGAACAGTGAGGGCACAGGGCAGGTCTCAAGCAAATTTTGGCTGAACGGCTGAGAGACCCAAAAGTCTTCCAAACAGGCAAATCTGATCATGTTACTTCTCTGTTTAAAAACCTTCAGTGGTTCCCAGTAGTTTTAGGATAAAATCCAAACTCTTAGGTCATTCAAGGCTCTTCACATCCTTGCCACCGTCATCACCCATCACTCACCATTCGTGTCCTGTCACTTGGCCATCCCACGTGAACAACTAACAATTTTCTGGGTGATGCATGTGTTACGTTGGCGGTTGCAAATGATTTCCAGCTCTGGAGTCAGATCGAATGTGGTTGTGTTCCAGCTCCACCACAGAGCTCTATGTCCTGGAGGGAGTTCACATAAACTCTCTTTGCCTCAGTTTCTTCATCTGCAAAATGGGACTAATAGGATCATCTGCTAAGGTTGGTGTGAGCATTAAACGCATGCATACATGTCAAGCCCTTAAATCAGTCTCTGGCACATACAAACATTCCATTATTGTTACCCTGGGAGTTCAACGAATTTGCTGACTTTATCACGTGCTGCCTCCTTCTGCCTGGGATGCCCCCTCCACCTTGGCCTGACAGATCCGAGCCATCCTGTGACTCTCAGTCCCAATATCATGGCCTCTCTGAAACGAACATCTGTAGCCAAGGAGTGTTAAAAGCTTAAGTTGTGGCATTATATCCTGGTTCTACTACTCACTATTTTACTCTAGTTTAAACTTGCTAAGCTGTGGTTTCCTCCTTTGTGAAACTCAGATAAGAAAATAATCGCCTCTACCTTATTAAGAGTTGTCAGGGAAAAATATAAAGACATACCTAGCATATACTAAATCCTTCATTCACGTTAGCTATTACTTTTATTAGCAGCCTTTCTGCCTTTTATCAAGAACTAGCCACAGTATCACTGTACTCTGTTTCCTTGTTTCTCTGCGTGGGTGATTTGAGTTCAGAGACAGAGAACTTACACATCACTGCATCTCAGGCACTTGACACATCATTTGGGCCATGGAACTTTGGAACTGACCAGAATTCAGGGCTTTATCTATACATGTAACTATCTGTAACCATTTCTGTAATTTGCTCTAAGAGAATTCAGAGGCCAGAGAAGATGTTAGGAAGGAAGGATGTTTGAGGGCTAACTCTTTTTTCTTTGGGAGGTCCTAAAGACTGGAGATTAAATGGTCTTACACCATTTCATTTGGCCCAAAGGTGCATGGGAATGATGGGCTGGCACTTCACTCCCAAGACATGACATGTGCTTTATCAGTAGGATTGAATACCTCATACTGGTCCTTAAACAGGGTTGTGCCAATACATACTAAATAGCTGGTTATCCAAGAATGACACAAAGCCCTGATTTGTGGTGTTTGCTGATCACTGCGGTGTAAATACTCGCTCCAAGGTTACTCTCAAGCCAGCACTGTGATGTTAACCAACTCGCAAGATCCCTGACGATGGACCAGTCAGCCAGTCATGAGCTGGCTCCAGCACAATACGATGTAAACTTCAGTTTTTCTCTTTGTAAAATGTGAGTCCTCTGAAGTTAACTGTCCTGTCTCCGAAGTAGAAATGTCAGTGGGTCAAATGTGAAAAAAACAGTCAAATGTCAGTGTTTTGGCAATGCTGCACGTGATCATCATTATCTTGAAACTCTTTCTGTCCACTGGCCATGTGCATCTTAGGATCTGTGCTGACAATCTTTTCTCACAAGCCAGCCTATCTGGTCTTCTGCTCAGAGCAGTGTATCTGGTTTTATCCTCCCAATCAGGGTTATACTCTCTGCAGCAGACTGACTCAATTAGCCTTTCATTCCAGAGTCCAATTGTGAGTCAATTCTGAGGTTGTTAAGCGAAATGAGTCTGGTGGCATTAGCCTCGCGCTGAAGGATAGTAATCCGCATCCCAGTGCCGTTCAGTTAATAGTCTGCTTGAGAAACTATAAGAAACAGGGACTTGGAGACAAAACGACCTTTTGTCCATCTCTGGGGGACAGGCTGGGAGCACAGAGCTGCCAGGTCAGAGAGCTGCTCAGGTTGTGGGCAGAACTGGAACCCCAGCTTCCTGAACCACAATTGGCCTTTGCAAAGTTAGAAGCCCAACAGCACTAGATCATTAACTTTCATGACCAGGAAAAGTCTTCTGAAATTAATACTCAGTCCAAGCTGGATGCCATTGGAGCCAGTTGAGTAAGTCTGAGCCACCTTTAGGGATTTCCTCAGAAAAATAAATCCTCTAACCAGGCTACAGAAAATGGCCAGGTTTTATGCCCTTCAGTGTGTTCTATTAGAGTCCGAAAACACCAACGAGGCTTAGACAGTGGGAGATCCAGGACACGTAGACAGGCGCATGCACAAGTCTCATTTGGAGGATTTTGCCAAGCCACTTAGCTTCAGCACATGGCCCTACTTGGGAAGTGGGATGAAGGGTCCTCTCTGAGAACTGTCAGGTGCAAAGAAAATAAAGCTTTGCTCCAGCGTCTGCCCTGGGGATTGACAATGATGGAACCAGGCACCCACAGACAGAGGGCCCAGATCGGCGCAGCTAGGGAGGCTCAGATACCCCTGCTTAAAAGGGTTCAAGGAGAGACCAGTCCCTCACAAACACCCTGCAGCCTTTGCAGTGTGCTATGAATTTAGATGATTTCATTGGGCCTTTTAACTCCCCGGTAGTTACAGTTGTAGTAAAGGGACACATAATGAGCTTCCTGCAGACCTTTTACCTCCGTGATCTCCGCACACGCTCCCTTGTTCTGCCCCGCCGCCACGCGAGCTCGCATATAACCTAAGGTATGCTAAGTAAACACAGTTTTTTGGGTGGAAGGAAGTAAAAACAGCACTATGTATGGTGGCTGCCAATTTGGGTCAGCTGAAGAGAAAGAAGCTGAGACAGCCGTCCATTGTCTCCCATAATTGCCGGATAATTTAAATTCTCTTGAAGTCCATTGTGTTCTTTGCTTAGAAGCAGAGCTGTTGTCTGCTGAGATGACCTCTGGTGGCCCTGCTCTCATTCAGGATTTCTCCAACAATATCCTCTTCAGATTGAAAAACAGCCAGTTGGCCACAAAGAGCCCTCTGCCTCCCCAGACCAGCATGTCTGTGGCCCCCTCTCCCCCTCTGAGGCTCTGAAATTTCGCCACCACTCAGGGCTTCCCAGTGGACCACGCAGGCCCCTGGGCAGTTTCCAAACTGCAGACAGATGCAGCAATTGGTCAGTGGCCCCTCCAGGCATCACCTCCCCTGGAAGGCCGAGTCACACAGTGAAACAGTGCCTAGAGTGAGCATCACCTCCTGCTTTTCCCTTCGGTTCTGGAGTGGCGAGCTCCTCCTCAGTGTCACTTGGCTGGAACCAATCCCTGTCCCCTGGGCTGGTGAATGAGAGATAACTTACAAGACAAATACACGTATTTTTAAAGCCAGCAGGAATTACGGGAGCAGATGGGCTGTAGGATCCTATTTGGATGCCAGGGACATGTTTCTGTATAAAGTAAATATTTTCCCAGTGTGGCTCTCTGGTGAGTGTGTAGAGAAGCATATTTCCTAAAGATGCAAATAAGTCTGTCAGAAATAAATATTGAATGGAAACTTCAAAGCATCTAGATTTCTCCAGTTACAGGCCCTGAAGACTTCTCTGCAAATAAGCAGACACACAGGTGGGTAAAGGTCTGGGGGAAGGAGGGGACGGTTGTGTGGGGGGAGGTTGGATAAGGGGGTGCTAACATCCTCAGAGCACACACTTTCTATATCTTTTTTTTTTTTTTTTTTGGTGCAGAAAAAGGCATATCGACGAAGGAAAAAAGAAAAGTTTACATTGGTCCAGAAGTTTAGGGTATTTCAAAACTCACCACTTGCCCTTTCTTTCCATTGCAGGTCTCGCCTTGCGGACTTTCTTACCAACTGCCAACCCGAGTCAAGGTCTTCCAGCAGCTGTCTAAAGGAAAACTATGCTGACTGCCTCCTCGCCTACTCAGGGCTTATTGGTAAGATCAGGGAGGAGTGGGACGGGAGGGAAGTGTGGTTTACAAAGACTCACAGACTCTTCCCATTGCAGCTCGCCACTGTCTGTAAAAGGAAAAAATCGCCCAGTAACCCTCTGTGCTGGGGTTTTGATCCCCTGGGAAACCCGGGGTTCAAGGCTGTGCAGAGGCAGAGGCAGGAAGCAGGGCGTAAGACAGTGCAGGTCTGAGCGCCTGAGAAGCATCCCGGGGGCGGGGTGGGGAGGGAGAACCGCCCACACGGAACAACAGGAGGAAGCAAACATGGCCGCGGAAGAGGGAAGCAAGTCAACCTGAGCTCATTGAATTAGGGAACTTGGAAGGCATTCTGTCTGGGGAAATAAAAAAGGTTATTCCCCAGAAATGGGAATAAAACCCCTAACTACCGGGGTCCTTCTCACTGTTAATATTGTTGGTAATTCAGCTCCTGGTGGGCAGGGGGTGATGGAGCCTAAAATGGTTCCCTGAGAACAGACCAGCAGAAACAGTGTTTTCCGCCTCTCAACACCTGAGGCTTTTGCAGAACCAGGTTCTTGGCATTCCGGGTGAGAGTGCAGTTAGGGTACCAGTGAGTGTGAAGAATCAGAAATTTGTGTGGCTTAAAAGAGGCAGGCAGGAAGAAAGGCAGGTGTTCCGGGTCCCAGGGCCTGAGGAAGCCTCAGTGGCAGGGCTCCGTCACAATTGACATTTGAGGACAAACACGTAGTGAAGGCTGTGGAAGGGTGAGGGAAATCACACTTGTCAGAAGCGTGAAGGCTCAGCCAGGGTGTGTGTTCCTGCCACAATCGCACAAGTCACCAGGCGGGAAGAGCTTCCCACCAAGAATGACAGCACAGACCCCCCTTTTTTTTTTTTTGTCACCAGAGTGTCTTCAGCAAGAGCTTTTGGGAAAATCAACAATGGCGCTTAATGTGGGGATATTATAGGTACCTGCACACTCATCCCAGCGTTTTTTGAAAGGATACCTGTGTTCTCTTGGGCAAGACCTTTCACCATGTTGTTTAGCATTTTTGTGGCTGTATCCCAATGGGTGTATCTTCCTTGAGTCAGTATTCCAAATTTGCATTCACTCTTTCCTTTTCTTAAGTAATTTGGTCTCTGGTAGGGGTTACTTATCAAACTATGGAATTATGAGCTTAAGAAACAATGGAAATAATTAAGCCATGCTCATTATAAAAAGTTAAAAAAAATTACAGAGAAACCCAACAGAGACAGTAGGAAGGATCTACAACTCGACTCCCAGACGTAATCCCTATTAACACTTTAGTCCATATCCTTCCAGGCATATGTGTTCATTAACTCCTCCATGAGGGGCCAAGGCACAGGGCTGCCAGGCATTTCTGGCTTGGCAAACCATTACATGCCCAAGATGATGAAATACTCATCATGGAATGGAATGAAATGGTTGAAGCAATGCATTTTACAGACCAAAATTTATTTCCCTCTTGGGTCTGGATCTTTCCCTCCACTCTGGTCACTGGGTTCTAAATGTATTTCAGGACAAAGCTTGCACCTGTTTCTTCCATATGTCAGGGATCCATCATGATGCCCTGCATTCAGTGGATACTTAGTAGACACATTTTAACCTCTTGACTCAGGGTTTGGGGTACCTTTTCTTTTCTCATCCAAAGTTACCTAACTCACTGTCTGCTGTGGGTCAAAGTTCCCATCCCAAGGTATAATGGGAAATAATGTAGTTCAAATTGGTAAGGAATGTAGGGTAAAAAAGATATGTCTTTGACCCAGAAGAGCTTACAAAGAATTTTTTTTTTTTTCTGTTTATGAACCAAATATATCCTGTGGCTCACTGACCACCTATTACTTCTTACGTCCACAAAATACAGAAAACCAGAAGGCTTCTTGGCATGAATAGGCATCGCCTGGTGCGAGCCACCCAGAAGAAGACATTTGGGTTGTATTAAGTATAAATGCATTGTTTATTTGCGCCAGTGCAGACTCATCAGAAAAACCAGGAATATAGGAAGATGTAGGGAAGTGAGACCACCCAGCATTTCTTTGAGGACTTTTGGGGACTATTGAGACAATACTCTAAAAGCCATGAGCTTAGAGAATTTCCACTGTTTATTTCCAATTCCTTCGCAACTTGGAAGACTTTATTTAAATCAGTTGAAAGTCTGGTGAGCAGAGGCCTCATTATATATGTTCCGGATGTGGGGTAACCCAAAGGGTAGCTTCTAAGCTTCCCTGTGTTACTCTGAAGAAGCCATTTGCTTCTGAGGGAAGTGGATGCAAAGTCCTAAAAGGATTTTTAAGACATGCAAAACCAGTTCTGTCTATTTACGAAGATTAATGACATTTTCAGGAAAATGCAAGGGATTTGGCAACTCATGCATTTGAAGTTAATTCTCTCCTACTCCGTAACATCCATACCATTTGGGCAGAAAAAATACCCTAAGTGCAGCTCAAGGAGTCCCGTTATAATTTTTTAAGTAAATGTGTAAATTATTTTATGTGCTCAAGATAAATTGCCAAGAAAATGCACTGCTTAACATAATTTCTCACTCAGCAAACACAATGTTTGTAATTATCCGTGGTGCATCCACCATCAGAGGAACATTTGTTTCTTTTTAGGCTAGAGAAAAGTCTGTATGATCACATAAGAACAAGATGCCTTGTTTTTACTTTTTTAGGTACGGTCATGACCCCCAACTACATAGACTCCAGTAGCCTCAGCGTGGCCCCATGGTGTGACTGCAGCAACAGTGGGAATGATATAGAAGAATGCTTGAAATTTTTGAACTTCTTCAAGGACAATACGTGTCTTAGTGAGTTTAAAAAAAAAAAAAAAGGAAGCAAACACACAAACACACTGTCCTCTTTGTGTTCAAGCTGCATCTTTGTGTTTCTTGTGCCTGCCTCGTCTTGCTCTCTCTTTCTCTCTCTCTCTCTCTCGCTTTTTTCCTGCTCCCTGATGGTGAATCCAGCATCTCTTGGCCATACTGCACAATGCAGGAGGGAACAGAGCAAGTGGGTGCTGCCAAGTCTGTGAATCCAAAGGCCTAAGAGAGCAAGAGATTCAAACAACGGAGGGTACATTATGTCAGATAGAACACTTCTACCCACAGATCAAATTTTGATGTTGGCAACCAGCATGAAGTCTGTTCCAAAGGTTCTTAAAACCTGGGCGCAATGTACGGTGTGAGAAGCTCAGACAAATTAGATGGGGGTAAGCCTCCAAGGGCTCGCTGAGAAAAATTAGAACATTAACATCAATAGCCCCCTGGATGTTCAGGGTTGGCGCAGAGGAGAAGCCACAATTCTTGAGCGGGATAAGCTGGCGATGCAGCCAGGCACCTCAGGGCATCAGTTATCTCGGGAGGCAGAGATGAGCACTTGGGGGCTGGCGGGGGGGAGAGGGGTGGTTGTTCCTGCTTGGAAATAGTATCGGTTATTATTGCAGTTTGCTTGGGGCAATGTGGAAACACGGTTCCCAAAGGGAGAGGGATAGAGAGAAATGTACAGGTGTGAACAATGGGCATTCATCAGACCGTGCCAGGTCTCCCTTTGATCCATGGAGATGCACACTGCTTGAGGTGATGATCCAGCGGAGATGCTTGGGTACCTTGCTCTCATTTTGTGGCAGCCGCCATTAATTTATTGGGTGCCCTCAACTCACTCTATAGGGAGTGCAATGTATACATTATCTCATTTACTGTAATCTGCACAAGAGTCCTAGGAGATCTAGGTATGAGCATGCATCTCCATTTCACAGTTGAGTAAACAGCTGTTATTCACATGGACCCTCCATGCCAGAGATGGATCTGAAGCCCAAGTTCCTTCTTCTACAGCCCCTGTCCCCTGAGGTTTTTGTGTCATGCCTGATAATAAAAGGCCCATTGGACGAGAATATATGGCTGAACACTGGGGACCAGGTGTGACTTCCTGGTGAGAGATGTTGGAGCCAGCCTCTAGGAGTTAAGGTCCAGCCACCTCTCTGAGAGCTGTGACAACTCTCCATGATGCTCTGCTATACAGTGATTGATGACCAGAGAATTAGCTAACAATTTACCATGTGTACATGGAAAAGCTTTTAAGTGTTACTTATTCTAAAACCTCTTTATAGTTTCCTTTGTTGAAAAGACAAATCTAAATGATTTGCTTACTAGGTACTTCAGTGATGTGGCTGTAACCAAATGTTTTAATCATCTTCGAACCAACAAGCTTCTGGACACCTAAGTGAAACTGAAAACCACAGAACTAGTGGGAAGTATGGAGACATTTGCTGAGACAGTGTGAAGTGTACCTTAGATCTCTTGTTTGGTCTTGACTTAAAAAAAGAAAAGTATGTATATATCCTTCTTTTCCACATCCTGCACAGTCTTTTGGCAGAATGCAAGTTTTAATGAAGATAAAGCAATGACAGTGTAGGTCAGTGTGAGAAAAGATGACAGTCACACTGGCTGGAAAACCTCTCCCTCATGGAGAAACTAAAGGTGTCCCTGCTTAATAATATTTTGGCGAAGGGGAGACTGGTCTGGCCTCTTTTTGCTAATGACTTTTCAATAAAAATAAATACATTTGGTCTTCAACAGGGACCAAAGCCAGCCAGAATTTTTCATAGTCATTCCATTTATACTTCGATGAGAAGGGGCACAGTCCACCAAAGACACAGTGCCGTCAATCCACTCTCCTGCAAAAGGCTCTAGAGTAGAAGGAATTGAAATTTGTAGATTCCAAACCAAATGCAGTAACCCAATTCTGCTGCCTTCGGATTAACCAGATCTCTCCCAGATTCCTCTATCATGAACACAACTTTAACTGATTGTTTATTTCTGGTTATTGGGGGGAAACACAGTTATTTTTAAGCCAAAGTGCATGGCCAGGGTGAGGGGAAGAGAGAAGAATGAGCTGGAGACGGAGGTAGGATAGGAGTGACTGTCACTCGGGTCTTTCTCCAGATGCCACCTTCGCCTCCCTGGACCGCTCTATCAGAACCGCACTTCCCCCTTCCGCTCTCACCCCCGCTTCATTTCCTCCAGTCATTTCTCAGCACTGAATGGATTCTATGCTTCACTTAATACCCTCCCCAGCGGGGGCATGGGATCTCCATGAGGGCAGGGGTTTTGTCTGTTGCTGTCCTTGATGTTCACTGCTGCATGGCCAGCACAGAGCAGCACCGGGCACTTAGTCTGTGTTCCACTGACATTTCAGTAAATGAACAAGCAAGGGCGCAGACTCCCCACGCGGCAAGGCAACCACACGGGAAAGCTCAGGTAGTGCCAATAAATGGCAGGGGTCTCCTGAATCTCCGTGTCTGAACAGGAAAGAGAAAGGAGCATTCTGCGGCTTGTGGTGGTGGTGGTTCTGGGTCATTCAGGGAAACCTGTCCCCCCATGTACCTCTTTCTCGGCATCACACCCACCATGTAAGGTTAAGCCATGTAACGTGGCTGGGAGGATAAAAAGCATTTATATTAATTCGAAGCTGTTTCTTACAGCCTAAAAAATGTAAAGTTTGAGAAAACAAGCTTCCAATTTGCTGAACTTAAAGGATAACAATTTTAGAACAAAATGCCACTTCTAAGAGGAAGATTAGGCTTAAATTATTTTGTCTTGTATATCAGAAAATGCCAGCTAAGAATCATATATTGACAATTTGCACAGTCAGGTCTCAAATGGAGGAGTTTGATTTCTTATACAATGAATATGAAATAAAAAATTCCTAAAGCCAGGCCAAATCCCTGAGGACCTGATTAAAAACTGTTTTTAATTCATTTTGAGGAGGGGAACAACACACAACCAATTTACTCTTGCCATAAAAACAATCTAATCCCATGAAATTGTAATAAGCTTTTAAAGTTTTGCATTTTAAACTTTTCATTTAAGCAGGGCTGCTCCTACCTAATTATGCAGATTTTGTTTGGAAGACTGGGAGCAGAAAGGGGAAAAATAGTCTTACTTAAATTTTCACTATATATTGATGAGATTGGGGTAGACTTTTTTCTTTTAAAGAAACTGGTTGTATCTGTACTTTGAGCAATGCCTGGCTCATAGTAGCTGCTCAGAGCATGTGTAGAGTGCTCTGTGGTAGTGAGTCACATCTTTTGCTGTTTGATTTTACTGCCTGCCAAATTAGCGTGGATGTCATCAAGTTGCCTCATAATTAGGGATATGTTACTTGAAAAAAAAAAGCGCCAACTAGTTTGCTTTTAGTATAGTATTTTAACAGAGTACAGGGATGTTCTTGGAAGATGGGTCAATGATTGTGATCCCCCAAAAAACAGGTTCAAGGCTGGGTTTTGAAGCACTTGACTGATGAGTATTTCAGGGCAAGGATCTTGCTCAGCCCCTGGTACATAAATAGGAACACTGTTTGTTGCGCTTTGAGCATACCTAAGTGTCCGTCTCGGTGTTTAATGAATGAATTGATTTTTGAGCACCTGACCTGATGGCTGGCTCTCAGCATGTGTAGGGTGGAGGGATGGATGGGTTTTGTTCAGGGAAGTCCAATACTGTAATCAGAATTTCTAGTGTGCCTCTCTGGCTTTATGTATCCTGTTACATTTGCTGCTTGACTTTGAAATTGGATTTCCTCCTGTTTTACTGCAGAAAATGCAATTCAAGCCTTTGGTAATGGTTCTGATGTGACCGTGTGGCAGCCAGCCCTCCCAGTTCAGACCACCACTGCCACCACCACCACAGCCTTCCGGGCCAAGAACAAGCCCCTGGCGCCAGCAGGGTCTGAGAATGAAATCCCCACTCATGTTTTACCACCTTGTGCAAATTTGCAGGTAAGAGTGGGGGCCAAAGTCCCCTTTGGAGCTCACTTGTAGAGGGGAAGCCCGGACCAGTTTCCTGCAATGCATCTCAAGATAGATGGCTAATGATGGAGGGTTGCTTGGGTTTGAGTCTTAAAAGTGCATTTTAACCATGATAAATGGAGATTGTGAAGTGCCACAGAGCGGGAGAAAGACGAACTCTGGGACTGACTCCCATCTGCTGGGAGTGTGACTTCGGTTAGGGTCCCCAGAGCTGGCCTTGGTGTCTTCACCTGTGGAATGAGGGGGCTGGGCAGATGAATCTTTAATCCTCTGTTTGTGGAGTGGCAGAGCCGAAATGGTACTGATTTATTTATTATGCTTATTCTGTGTCCTCTACAAAGCAGCAGCCTATTGAAAGAGAAGGTACTCTTAGGTTGGTAGCCACCACTGTCATTTAAACTTAACATGGAGTCGGTAACTCTGTCTAAAGGTTAACCAGAGACACTGTCACTAGTGAAGTGTTAAGTCCAGTGTAGACTCTGTATGGCTTCGTTCTTCCAGAAGCAGAAGAAAATGCTTTTCCGAAGTAGGAGGAACTATGTGGAGCCGCCCTGCCCAAAGCCCCTCATGGAACTAGAGGCCAGTGAGAATGGCCAGGAGACTTCCCTGGGGTTAATCCAGATCTCCAAGGGCAGAACCACAATGGCATGTGAACAAAAGTTTCCTGCCTTTTGTCACAGCAGGAATTCTACCTTTTTATTGATTTTTTTTTTTTGTAGTAACGAGTATTCAGCTACTTACTTAGCAAGACTACATATTTATATGTCTGCAAAGTATCTTCGCACACCTTACCTCTCTGGCTGTTATCCTCTTGACGGCTGTGGGAGAGTAACAGTATTATTGTTAGCCTTGTTCTTGCACTTGAGGACACCGGGGCTTGGTGAAGTAACACTTCTGCTGGAGCCTCCAGAGCTTGTGAGTCACAGAATTGGTGCTGGGAATCCAGGAGTCTCTCGGTGCTCTCGTGGTTCTTCCTATATTTTGGGGATCGTTGTGACTGCGTGAGGATTTCTGCTGCCTGCCATGCTGGGGAAAGGCACATGCACCAAGCACTGTGCTGTCACTTCACACCCGTCACTGGAGTATATTCTCCCTTCTCTCCCCACTCTGCTGCCACCAAGGATCAGGCTCACCAGAATGTTCACCAGGAACCTTCTTTTGCCCAATACCATCTTAATTCACAATCCTCTTTGTTCCCTCTTTGGGGCAGTTCCTCTGCTTCTGGTTTGCTTGCTGTCTTCTCTCCCCCAATGTCTCCCTTCTTCTTGGATATCCTACATGCCACTCAGCTGACTGTTGGTCTCCGTCCCATCCTCCTATGTCACAAACCCTCAGACGCGCTCACACCCACTCACACACACAGCACTGAGGAGAGGTCGGGGCGGGGAGTTGCACAGCCTGAGGTCAACCAGATTCTCTTCATGCTTCTGAAACATTTCCTGAGCACGTCCAATGTCCAAATCACTGCAGAAACCACCAGAAGTAGGAGGAGGCTTGGTGACTATTACAGCCTCTAACCGCTCCATCTTGCAGCAGAGCCCTCAGGCTCAGGGAGGGGAGGTGACTGGCACAAAGCCCCCCCCAGCCGGGGGGAGGCGAGCCTGGAGCCAGACATCGTACCACAGACACAGGATCTGTTCTTTGTCTCTGGCGGGTGCTCGGCGTCCTGCCTCCTCCTCGGCCACCCTTCTGTTCTTCTTGGGTCCACTCAGGTTCTGGCACCAGTAAGACAAGTGGCCAGATAAGGTATTGGACCGTGGTGTCCTTCGGTGATAAGAGTGGGCCAGAGATGGTTCCTGACTGGTACAAGAGGCAAGCTCTGGCAGCGGCAAAACCACGTTCTTCTCTGCACGTGTCTGAGCACACAGAGCATGGCTGCGGAGGGAGTGTTTAGCCTGTTTATTGAGCCCCTTCTGTGTTTTGGAAACTTCATGGAGATGGGCACTCAAAAAAAAAAAAAAATCTCTCCTCAATGAACCTCCAAATAATGGGCAAAGGCACAGCTTGTTAACATTTTTGGGAAGTCAGACCAAATTAATAGATGGCGTTTCAGAAGAATAGCCGTTATTGGAAATCCCATGAAATTAGTTTTCTCTAAGAGGAAACTGAGAGAGGACTCTGTCAGCCATAAGGAGACATTCTCCGCACCTCCCTGTGCCCTGCTCCCCCATCCCCCACCCTACCCCCCCAGATCACAGCGCCTGACTTCTGCTTCCTGTGGTGCACGCATGTCTTGGCCACACAATATTGTGCCTCCGACACAGATCTGCCCAGCCACCCCCCCTCACGCCCTCCCCGGCAAGGAGGACTCTGTACTGCTGCAAGGTTGCCCTGGCAACGTCGGGGGACACATGAGCTCTGTTCCCAAGAAACGGCGCCTTGCCTTCCCCTGTATTAGTGATAGGAAGTCTGCCTCATAAATAGAGGGGCAAAGTAAAAGCATGGTGTTTATGTTGAGGCTGCTATTTAACTTCTCGGCGGAGGGGGAAATAGAAGTGTGGGATGACCGGGGCATGAGGGTGCAGCCATACTTGTCTTCCCTGGGACACACACACACAGGACACACGTTATCTTGGAGCTAAACAGCATTTCACTTCTGGGGAGTCCTTCAGGGTTCTACCAAACCTCACCTTTGCTCCTAAGGGGATGGCCTGCTTGAGCCCATTTTTGCACACGTGAGGCGGGGAGTGAGGGCACGGGCTCTGCAGCCAAGCCTATGTTCAGACCCAGGCTCTTAGCCTCACCAGCACCGTGGCTTCTCCGAGCCTCAGCTTCCACAAAACTCGAGGATGGCCGAGCTGCCAGAGTTGAGGGGATTAAACAGGAGTAATGCTTCAGGGCCTGGGCAGAGTGAACGCCCAGAATGGTACTTTTAAAATGTCACATGTGATGTCTGATGCCCAGTCAGTTGGCCACAGGGTCCCTTTACAGCAGATGGACAGTGGTGTTGTGCCTTGCTTACAGACATCCTTCCCTTTTACACCTAAAGCAACAGAGGCAGGGAAAGGCTAGTGACTTAACCAGAATCACATGGCAATTCTTTGGAGGGGCCTGGGATTTCTGTCCCAAGGCCAGTATACTTCTCTGCCTCGTTCCATGACCTTGGACAACCAACCTGGGCTCTTTCTTTGAATGAGAAATGGACAGAAAGGAGGAAGTAAAAAGCAGAAAAGGAGAGGATAGAAAAGGCGGCAGGGAAAAGCTGGTTTTGAGAGAGCCGTATGTCCTAGTGCTTCCTGAAGGCAGCTATTCAAGTAATAGGGAAAACACAAAGCTCATGCAATTCCAGGAGACAGGGAATAGGGAAAGACTGAAAGTTTGCCAGTAAAACTTTTCGCAGCTTGGTAAGGTCTTTAGAATGACCTATACTAACAACAGTTGAAAGAATCGTTGGAGGCCAGAGGATGGGGGATGAGTGAGTGATAAGAGAAGGGCCTTCACCTCTAGAACATGGTCCCTGGCACTGATTTAGGACTTTCACTTTGGAGGAGGGCTCCCAGGAGACTCATTCTCCCCATCTGTCCTTCTTTTGCCTGCCTGGCTGTCTCCAGATAAATTATCATTTGCCAGGGGGTCCTAGAAATATCTTAGAATGGCGTTTGTCCCAGCCGTGTGTGTCATTACTCAGAATAGAATTGACTTAAACCAGCTTGGGATCCATTGGTAACAGATTTGGAGAAAGTCAACTATCTTTGGCAGCTGTAAAGGTCACTTCCCTCGAGAGGCACCCTCTTGTAATATTTTAAAATATACAATAATACGAGAAAACTCTTGGGGACTTGAGTTCCTGTCTTAACATTTGAGATAGATTTCCCCTTTGGAAGGGAAGAAATAAGAATAAACATTTTCAAAAGTCGGCTTCAAAGTGTAATAATCAACAAACCAGATGCAATTCTTTTGGGGAAATGGGTGGGGCATATAGGACTCATCTGCAGTTCCTATGAAAGGCTTGTCTTTAAAAAAGGAAAGTTGATTGATTAGTATAAAATGTCATAGAAATGTCCAAGTGCTAACCCCCTGAGGTGATAAAATACCAGGTTTTGGGTAAACCGCCAAGCTCCCATGTCAGGATTAATTGGCAGTCATATTAGTAACAAGCATGACGCAGGCTGTGCTATTGTTGGCATATCCCTTTGACTTGTACAAAGTGGTCACATGAAAAACAAAGGAAGATTAAAAATTCTACCAATTATTTCATCTTCTGTGCACTTGAGTGGTCTGCTAGCTGAAAAAAGCTCAGGATATTTAAACCAAATGGACTGTACTTGTCACTTATTTAAAGTAAATATCTTTGGGAGATGTAAGTAAGTGTTAGAAAAATCCCTACTTTGCCTCATTCTACACCACTTAATTCTGGAAGCTTAAAGACAAGACCCCTTAAAGTGGCATTTGTAGGTCTTGGGTTCCATGGTCTAACAGGGTGCTAGAGTCTGGGGAAGGCGGCCCAGGGGCTGTGGCTGAGGACTCTAGGGAAAACTGCTGTCTCTGCCCTTTTCCACTCTCTTTCCCCTCAAAAGAGCTGTGATTGACAAGAGAAAGTCTGGTAGCCTGAGGGACACACACACTCCGATCCGGGGCTAGCAGGTGGGTATGGGATAAGCTGTGAGCCGTTGGAGAGCTCTAGGGAACAGTGAGAGCCACAACCGAAGTCAGTTTTTCTTAGGAGCCAAAGAAAACATCTCTGTGGAGAGACATGGAGGGCAGGTTGTAGACAGAGCTCAAGTAGGGCTCCTCCCCTTTCCCTAGTGGCACTTTTAAGACAGCATTCTAGAAAGAAACCAGCAATGTGGTTTTCTCAGTCATGAAGAAATGTGAGCATCTCCAGTGGATAGTCGTTGTGAGAGTGCTTACTACTGAAATCCCCAGTGCGGAACAGAGGGCTCCTATTCTCTTCCCCACCAATAGCCCATCATCTGCTTTGGTAGTCAGACCACGCTAGCCCTAAAGATCCCACCACAGGGACACTTAGA